TGTTTGTTTAAATATCTCCTTTTGGTTTTGTTTGTGTATGTGGCTGATTATTGTCGGTGGGCTTTTAGTTTGATGGATTCGAAGAAATGGATAATGTTGAGTTGAAAGAAGTCTTCCGTGACTGCATGAACATACGGATTCCAGAAATATCACCCACCCGTCGGATAATAGAATGGTACATCGAAACCTTCTACGAAGAATATAAAACCATGAGAACCCGGCCGCCAGGACAAAATAAAGCACCAAAAACCCCAAACGAACAAGAAGATGAAAAAGAAAAAGAGGAACCACAGAACCAACCAACCGACAACACCGAACCGAAAACCCGCAAAATCGTCGAAGAAATGGAAGATGCAATCTGTGCACTATGGCTACTGGTCGAAGCGAGCAGCGATATCGAATACACCCGCGATTGTTGGGTCAGATCGTCGATATATCTTTGGCGTTTCCATTGTTTTTCGATGAGGAAGCACAGGAATTGTCGGTTGGGGGGGTTTGATACGTTTAAAAAGATTCTTAGTATGAAGTTATGGGAGATCGCAGGGATTTGTGCTAAACGTTTGCAGAAGAGGTATGAAAGGGGTTTGGTATATCCAAAAGAAGACGATAAGACACTTTTCCTTTTTTGGATGGACCGATGTAAGTCCCTTTTTGATCCATCCCTCTTTAGATCGTTTGGTATACAAACAAAGGAAATCGGAGAAATGGCTAACATAAGAGGTGGTATTTGTAAATAGTTGCGAAAGTCGGGATACCCAAGATGCTCATGACGCAGTTAGGGCTAGACGGCGTCAAAAGGTTGTTGGAGCTTCCCTTCGAGGCTCAGATGTCCGAGATGGAATTTTATTTTGAGTCTACTCTTATCAAGTATGATATTGGGTGGATGTTTGGAGGTGGGGGAGATGATTATAAGATCAAAAGTGAGGATGGAGATGAAGATGAAAAGGAAGACGAGAGTGAAGGGGAGGAAGAGGAGGAAGAGGAAGGGAATGATCATAGCGGTATTGAAATCGTCGAACTGGAACCCGAGGACTTTCGTCGGGAACTACTCAATCATTTTTACCGATGGGCGACCTGCTGCGATATCAATTGTCTGTTTAGGAACATGTACGATCCGGTTTGGTAGCGCCTTTCTTTCTTTCTTTCTTTCTCTAGAATCCATAGTCAGCACCGTGTTGTCTGTTGCAAAATACAGCGTGTAACCCCGTTGCGATCGAGAGGCTGCGGGTGGCTGGAACCATAACTCGGTTACCAGGATCAAGTTCCCTACTAGGCAAGTCCTCGCTTGTGTCCCCTGGTTACAGGGGTTTCTTGACCCATTTCCCGATCGATTAGATTAAGATCTGCGTTTTGTGTTCCCGTTGGATTCAGCCCTTACCTTTCGTGATTTTTCAGCCTCATTGGCAGGTACTTTTCTGGTTACGTGTATTATTATTATTTTCTGAGGGAAAGAAGGCTAGTGCTAACCGGAACTGCCGAAGCTTATTAATTTTAATTTAGTTTACTAATCGGCTTGCTTACTTTTAGGTCTCGAGATCTTTAAACCCTTCACGTCCTCTCAACTCAATTGCCCAATTCTACCGGAACATTAATGTTAGGAGCTCATCCAGACGCCTCCCAATGGCTCCTAACACCCTCCAACTGGCGTGTCTAACCACACCACTCCTCACGCTCACAATCCTATCCCTCCCATCGAGTTCATTCATCCGACAATGTCTATACCCGATCCCAGCGGTATTATTCCTTCGAGCGCTGTTTTGGCCGCCGAAGTTCTCGGCGTCAGATAATGAAGCTGTGCAGGAGGCGTTTAAGCTCGGGACGCTTTATGCTAGCTTTGCGTTTGCGTTTGCACATTATTTGTATGCTTATGGGTATGATACACCTGAGTATTTTTATAAAGTAAGATGGGTGGAGGGGAGTGGTAAGGATGGTGATGGAAAGGGTGGTTATGAACGGGTGGGGTATCCTGAGGATGGAGGGTTTTGGGGGAGGTTTAAGTGGTCATTGTCGTTGGTTACGGCGTTACGTGGGGTTGGGTGGAATTTTCAGGTGTCGGGGTTACCGAAGACGAGGTTCGCGAGGTCACGGGGGGAATGTGTGCGAGAAACTGCGGTTACGATAGTTATTTCTCATCTATCGTGGCTGACGGCTGGTGCTATTTGTGGGTTTTTCGCCCGGTTGTTAAGGGATGAGGAACTTGCTGCGAGGTATTTGTTTTTATATGCATTGGTTGGGAAGAATTTGGTGGTTCAGATGGCGGCTGTGAGTGCTGCTTGGGGGGTTAGGAATATTGCGTTTACGATGTTGGTGTCTTCGTATTTGAAGATTGTGTTTGTGGGGTTTGGGATCGGTGGGGGGGAGTGGAGTGATCCTGCGAGGTGGTATAGGATGTTTGGGGGGTTGGGGGATTGTTGGAGTGTTAGGTCTGTGTGGGGGAGGGTTTGGCATCAGTCTATTAGAAAGGTTTGTGTCTTTGTCTTTTGGTTTATATCAATTAGGAGGGTATTTGCTAATGTGAGGATATGTTAGTGTATACAAGTACCCGGGGATAAAATCGCAGCATTGGTATTCGGGACTGATCCAAAGTCGCTACCGCAGCCTATCCAACTCCTCCGTCGGTTCTTCCTGTTATTCTCCGCTTTTGCGGTTTCAGGGTTCATCCACGCCGCGGGATCATACTTCATAATCTTCGGAATGGATAATTATAACCCACCAACCGAAGGTCCACCGTGGTATTATACATTCTACTTCTTCATCTCCCAGGCTTTTGTTATAGCTATAGAAGAGGTTGTATTCTGGGCGCTGGGGGTTTCTAATACGCCCGAGGAAGTTGGGAAGAGTAAGGTTAGGTGGGTGGTGGGGGTTGGGTATACTACGCTTTGGTTTATTTGGTGCACGACGGTGCTGTGGGCGGATCCGGAGAGTAGGGTTGTTGGGTTTGTGCCTGCGGGGGTGGGGGAGGGGTATGCGCATGTTTTTGATAGGATTGATAGGTTTTGAGTGGGGGGTGTAGATTTGGATGTTTTTTTTTTTTTTGTAGAGGGGGTGTCTTGTAATATATGTGCTTTGAGGTGGGGATAGGGCGGTGGATGGGGGTATGAAGTAAATCACGTGACTATTTTGGCGTCTAGAATGGCCATTTCTTCAACTAAGTCAAGTCTGGCAGGCAAAATTATTTCTCATATGAGAAATAATTGTCCATTGGTGTCGGCCTATACTATGGAACTAACACATTCTGAGGAAAAAGACGTAAAAAAGATGTAAAAAAGTGTAAGTTTTGACCGCCAAAATGGTCACATGACACTTGGTGGTGCTATAGGAGGTCGGTCACATGATTAATTTGACCGTAAAAAGTGGACTGCGGGTTCGACCCCGGCATTTCTTCACAATGGTAGAGGGTAGGCTGGTCGGTTTCGAGGCCGACTGGGTGGGCTCCCGACGTTTGGGATGAAGATTGGTGTCTCGGCCGGGATTTGGTTGTTAATAAGGGACGCTGGGGAGACTTCTTGTCACATGACCACTTTGACGGTCAAAACGGCCGAGTCCTCGACGGGTTCGACCCCCGCATTCGTATTGGCGATGATTGATAGTTTTATCCGGCTCGGCCGGGTTGTCATGTGGGTTGAAGTTGAAGATGATAAGTTTCTGATACGAAGTGGAATGGAAGGCCAGGTTAGGACTGGTCACATGACCGTTTTGATGGCATAAATCGATGGAAGTTACGAGATTCCGCCGGTTGATTGATTCTTAAAAACCACGTGGTTCTGGGTGTGAGTGCGGTCCTCCAATATGGGAGAAAAGAAGGTTGATCCTAAGTCACCTGACTATTTTGGAGTGATAAAACCAGGCGCCGACGTCATAGGGGGCCTAGGTACTTAGGGGGTACACCACGCCACGAGTTCGACTCCCGGCATGGGGTTTTGACTGTTAAAAGAGTCACATGACCTTGGGTATTGTTAGTTTGGGGGGGTGAGGGGGTCGGTCACATGACTGTTTTGGCAGTAGAAACGGCCCAGATGACGACAGGTTCGACCCCCGCGAGCTAGTTTTTTTATTTGTTAGCGTAAAGCCCATGAGTTCGACTCCCAGCATGGGGTTCTGACCGTCAAAAGAATCATATGACCTTGGGTACTATTGGTTTGGGGGAGGGGGTCACATGACTATTTTGACAGTAGAAATGGCTGAAATGACGACAGGTTCGACCCCCGTGAGCTAGATTTTTGTTTGCTAGGATAGCCACGCGGTTTGATATGCATAGTAGATCAAGGCAGGTCACATGACGATTTTGATGTTATAAATTAGTAAAAATCGGTGGGCTGGTCCACGGGCACTATGGCTACGAGAGGCACCAGGTTTCTGGCCTGAAGAATCGGTGGGCTCGGCCCACTCGGCCGGTTTTGAGCATTGAAGTTGTCACATGACATGACTACGAAATCTGTATGAAAAAGTTTGGGCTATAGCATTTGGTTTCCTCGCGCCCGCCCTCGCAGTTGCTTGCTCCCGAATAGATACCTAATGATTATCTAGGTACCTAGCAATGAACTGATTTGTAACTTTCAGCAAGGAAATATTACGAGGTAGTCCCGGTCTCGAGGTCGGGTCCGCTTTATGACGCAGTTATGCGTTGGAATATGTTGCAAATTTACATACACAAATTCCTCTTGAGTATTCTTCGGACAGTTTTACTAGGGCGTCCGTCTAAAACAATTTCGGCGGCCTGGATTTCTAAAAACAGCTGGAAGTGATGTATGTATCGCTTAAAGATTCAAATGGTCGATTAATTTTCTATTTGCGTCTATTCCCCGTTTAGTTGACTATATATTGGCACAATGACTCTTAACTGATCACGCCGCAAGACTAGCCGCCGAACGATAGTAGCAATGATGACTGGCAGCAAGCGGAATGGCTCTCAAAAAGAATAACATTTATCTTTTCCTTTCAAAACTTCAAACTTCCAAAACTCCAAAAAAATATCTCATCATACTGGAATTCCAATTGTCTTCCGATACCGGGAATCGAACCCGGGGCTGTCCGGACCATCTTAACCAGTTATGAAGCCAGTTATTGAAAGCGGACGATGTTAACCACTACACCATATCGGATGAGTGATGTGCTTGTTCTGTCGGTCCATCTCTGTGCCGATGATAGGTCAATGCTATGCAATGGCCTTCGATTTTGGGGGGGGGGTTGTGGATTGGGGTTAGCCTCGAATCTAGGCGCTCACAACACAGGCGTCGGCTAAAATGACACAAGTGCATAGATCCTCTGATCCTCGGGCTCTTTGTTTCGATCCGTGAATCTGATTTACAACAAAATTTTGTCTCATAAACCAGACCCGACCAGCTTCACTTTGGACAAAGTTTGAAATCATGAACGTGGGAGGAGCCCAGACTCAGAACCAAGAGTAGCTTGCGGTCTCAACACCAGATAAGCTAACTAGAGTAGCTTGTAATAATGCCTATATAAGGGTATCTTCGACAACAAGGAGATCTCGCATATAACATAAAAGGTAAATGTAACCTGTTACTGCAAGGCCCCAGCTTCGGGAAAACTTGAACTTGGGTGTGGCTGGTGCCACGAGACCAGGAAGACTTCATCTTCCGGCCGCGGAGCTCGCCCGTGCACACCCGGCCGTCGTCTGCAGATCGGCCAGCTACTGCTACTTCTAATGTTAATGCTAACTACTAAAATATTAGCTCATCCTCATAGTGCTATTTAACGATGACGTTCTCGGAGCTAGTAGTCTATTTTTTTTTTTAAAAAAAAAAAGAAAAAGAAAAAAGAAAAATCCCCGACTGAAAATTGGTGGTATTTAACTACCTTTGTCTTATTGGCGGAGGGGAAGGGGAACTATTCTAAACAGTTCTAGAAGTATATATAATTTTATAATTCATCTGACTGAATTAATAATTTCATAGATATTTTAATATTAATGTCCCCGACTGCAAGTCGGGAGTTGAATGTAACTACCTTTACCTTGTTGCAGCTTGGGGGGGGGGGGGGGGGGGGATGGCTAGTTTTCCTTAGGGCCCTGCGTTTTTTTCCCCTTCTAACAACGTGCTCCATAGTGCACTTTAATTGTGTGCCATATTAAATCTATGTCTCTACCCCATTCCCTAAGAATTCCATCTCGGAATCAGAAAGTTCCACCTCGCTAATGAGTCCCATCTCGCTAATAAGCTCCACCTCGCGCTCGGAAAATGTTCTTTCGTCGTCAGTGAACTCTGTCTCATCCCCTAAAAGTTCTATCCCCAGCTGGAGAAATTCAATCTCATTTTCGACGAGCGCTTGTCTCGTACCCAGACCCCCCCGACTGTGGACGAGCGCCTGATCCTCGAGATGTTCCATCTCGGACTCCATGAGTTCTATCTCGCCATCGATAAATTCTCTTTCATCAGTCATCATAGGATTCCCAATATATGCTACATCATAGCTAGTAAAATCTATCCTAAACTTTGGGTGGTGTCCGGTGAAGTGTCTACCGTTTTCGGCCAATTCTAGCTCTATCTCACTCTCGTGTGCCTGCCCTAAGTCCGGAAATAGAGTTCGATATGATTCATAACTCGGAGGGGGGTCGCGCTTACCCATATTATAGGTTTCAGCACTGGAATGGGCCCAACGGCGATATTTGTCTAGGTTTGACCAGGCCTCAGCTGCGCCGGCTACGTCAAAGCAGCGGAGGATCCTTAGGGCTTCTAAAGCACCAAAGAGATTTTCCTTCTCGCGCTTTTGTACCCATTTACAGCCAACTGCGAAAGCAGCATCCACTGCATTCCTGTGGGTGCCCGGCGCATCAACGTCTGCACCATGTTCTAAGAGGGTCCGGACAACGCTGGAAGTATACCTAGTGCAATTGCAGATTACAGCTTGCAAAGCATTGCCATATGGGCCACCGCGAGCATTGACATCGACTTTAGCCTTCAGCAACTTGGCAACAATCCGGTGGCCTATTGGAGTTGCTCCAGTCGCTGTACCAATAGCGGCTGCCTGCAAGACGTTACCATAACGCCCGCCTTGGGCATTGACGTCGGCGCCAGCAGCTAGAAGGATTTCAGCAACTTGCCACATATTGTATGACCAGTTCCACTCGAGGGGCTCGAGCTCCGAGGGTTCACTTTCGTGTATTAGTCGCAGTGTGTTCAAAGATTCCCTAGTAGCGATGGGTAATTGTAGCCCCCAGCCGTACCTCCCGCTAGCGGCACCTATTAAAAGCATTGAATTTGGGATAGGCGCAAAAACCTTGTCTCGCGCCATGCCTGCAATCTCTATGCCCGCAAAAGCCGCTTGTAGTGCGGTACCGAAAACGCCGCCCCGAGCATTGACGTCAGCCTTAAAATGAAGGAGCAACTCTATGATGAAGGTGTCAAGGCTTGTGTTTGAATACTTGTCATGTATGAGTACTACTACTGCTGCTGCCGCCTGTAGGGCGTGGCCGAAGCAGCCGCCTAGAGCATTGACATTGGCTTCGGCATGAAGTAGCACTCGAATGATTTCACTAGTATCGTAGTGCGACCCTATTGCCGCAGCCGTCTGCAGTGCATTGCCGAAAAAGCCACCTCTAGCGTTGACATTGGCACCCGCCCTGATTAACATGGAAATAATTGCGGCGGATTTAGCGGGCGGACTATGACTAGTCCAGTGGTCGGGGATGATAGCGGCCTGTAACACATGCGGGAAAACACCACCATTGGCGTTAACATCGGCGTCAGCATCTAGTAGCAGCTGAATGGTCTCTCGGTTTGTATCTTCGCGATAGGCGGTGGCTGCTACGGCGGCTAGTAATGGGGTCCCGTAGCGGCCTCCCCGAGCGTTAATTACGTTAATATCGGTACTCGGATCCCGTAGCAGTATCCGAATCAGTTTGGGACAGTGATGTAAGGCCAGCGTATAGAGTAATCCTGCACCTAGTTTGCTGCATGTGAACCGGATCTTTTTCTTTATCCTAGGATGAATGCCGCAAGAGAAGATGTTGTACCTCAAATTTAGTAGTTTAACGATTCGAGAGTTGTTTTGCAGCCTCTCAATAAAGGTCTCCTGCCATGATTGGGCCGCGTTTTCCGCATGGTAAAAAATATTGGATGCAGCGTAATCCAGGAACGGATACTTTTCATCAAAATGCCGTTCTGCCAATCCGCTCCGCCTTTTGAGAGCTTCGGCTAAAAGGTCCTCCATCCCAATATATGACAAGCAGGAGAGGGCGATTCTTCCATGACTGACGCCATTAGTATCCAGTGAAAGCGCTGAATCGACGGTCTGAAGCCTCTTATTTCGTATTAAAAAATCATTTACTGTCTCATGGATAAATTGAATGGACGGAGGCTTTCCGAGCGCCACCTCGATGAGGCCTCTCGAACTACTGATGATAAACCGTTTGATCAATTGGTCGGTTACCACGAGACTATCTCGTGGGCCGAGACTATCTGGCTCCAAACCGGCCAGAGTAGCGTAGTAGATCTCACTTGGGCTTAACTGCCTCTTAGTGAAGAGCATAAGCAGGAGTATAAGGATGGTCCGAGGTTTATTGTCGTCCTTTTCTATTAGCATACGGAAAACTTCGTCGAGATCACTAGGTATTTCCTGAAGTTTCGTCCGCACGGCGTGAATGTTGCCGTTTTCATACGCTTGGTTTAGCATTTCCACCACAAGGACGACCCACATGAAAACCCCTGCTGATTTTTGGCGGAGCTCAGATTCGATGTCTCCATTCGGACCCTTCAACATGAGCTTGTCCTTGATGTAGATGGCGATATCCTTTGCATGCTCCAGCCTTTCTTCCACAATGAGTTCAAGCATTTTTATCATACCAATAGTCGGGTAGTGTCGACTTGATAAGCAGATTCTCAGCAGTTGAAAATCCTTAGAAGTACTGACTGCAACCGAGCCCAGTACCTCGAGAAACCCAACGACCTTCCGCACTTCTGATTCATCACATTCATCCAAGGCATCCGTCAAGAGGAGCACTGGTCGATCTAGGGAAGGTATTAATTCTATCAAAAACCTTTCTAGCTCTCCTTCGTGCCACTTCCAAGAATCTCCGTGTTTCTTCTCCTTATCGATGAAATATGGGACAAAAGAATTGTAGGCCTTTGCGTCTTGATCTAGCAACTGGTATAGTAAGGAGCGGAGCATGCCTTGGCGTGTTTTTTCTAGCGAAGTGCCTCGGGCGTGGAAGAAGTATGCTGCAATAGTATGATCTGGGAAGGATTTGCGATAAAAGAGGAGAATATGTTTCATCAAGGTCGATTTTCCTGCCCCGGGTTTCCCTTTGATCCATAGAACTCCATTAAAAGCTTCTATATCAACGGTTTCTCGCTGGAGCCACTTTCGAAATTTATCTGTCTTGAAGATCCAGTCGCAGGTATTTCTATGGGCTAATGAGATATTGTTTTGGCGAAAGTCCATATCCGAAAAGCTTAGTGATCGTAAGATGCGCCGCTTCTCAATTTCTTTAGCCAGCACATGAGCGTTAGTGGTTAATCAAAGCTCAACTACTTATATTTCACAATGGATTGGAGAATACGCACCAGGGGAAATTTTAGAATTTGAGTCGCAGGGTAGCTCCTCTAGCTTTAGAACATGTCGCTTCCTATGTGGGGTTTCAACGGCGGGCGCAGGGATGGTTAAAAGTAGTTCTTTAGCGTATGCAGCTGCTGTAGCCGCCGCATACCCCTGCCACTGCTTATTTTTATGGGAATCGCAATAATCGCAAATCCCACGTATTGCTAGGCATTCAACTACATCTGCAAGGCCAGCTGCTTCCATCTCGAAACAATAAGCGTCTATTTCCTGGGCTATCAAATCGCGGGTCGCCGCGTCTTTTATAACTTGGTTGCCTGACGCTATTAAACCGTAATGAACAGCAGGGTCTTGGCTATTTCTGGCGCGTCGGATGACTGCTCTGTTTCCATCACACTTATTGCATGAATATCCGCCGGCGTGATTGTATTCAGCTTCGAACAATATATCTTCTTCTTCGGGACGAGCGAATGTGGTTATACCGGGCGGTAGTTTTTGGAAGGCGTCTGCTAGGAGCGTCGGGGTTTGGCAGCCTGGATACTATATATCAGCCGATATTAACGTATTGCATAGCATATTAGATGCG